GCCGGCCGACTCGAGGAAGAAGCGGGCCCGGTCCTCCTCGGCGCCCGTCACCGCCACGAACTCCCTCAGCGCCTCCTGCCGCTCCGCCGCCATCTTCGCCCCGTGCGCCGCCCAAACCGCTCCGGCCCCCACCGCACAGCCTCGGCCCGGCTGTCGCGTTCCGCCCGCGGGTCGACCGGACCCAGCCGAGCGGCGCCCGCCCGCAGGCCCCGCCCCGCGCGGTGCCTCACGCAAAGCCCTCCGTGCGGGAAACGCCGCCGCTCCGCGCCCTCTGGCGGCTGCGGCGCGCACCCGCAGCCTGACGGCGGGGGAGGGAGCCGCGCAGAGGAGGAGGGGCGGGGCCGGTCTTCCACACACCTGCGGAATGAGGGATCCCGAAATGGGTCAGAGTCACAATTATTCACTGACCCATCCCCTCATTTCGTCGTTTATTCATTCGTTATTCGCTTGTTCAGATACTCACTGAGTGCTCTCAAGGGCCGGGTACTGTTCCAGGGCTGGGGATCGCAGCGAGCAAAACCAAGTCCCTGCCCACTGGTTGCTCACATTCTAGGGGAAAAAACCAGACCTGCACAACTGGTTACTCCTCTCTCCCAGCCCTTCTGTGGCTCCCCATCTCACTCCGCTTGAAAGCCAAAGTCCCTGCAAGACCCGTGTGACGTGGCCAGCCCTCCATCTCCTCTCCTAGGCTGCTGCTCGCTAGCTGCCTCTGCCCCGGGCGCACTGCCCGCCTTGCTGTGCCTGGAGGGCGCCGGGCGTGCAGGTGCATCAGAGCCTTTCACCCGCGGCTCCCTTTCCTGGAGCACCTCTTCCTCGCCGGGACAAGATGCTCCCTCACTCTCCGGAGACCTCTGCTCGAAGGGCGCCTTCTCAGACACAATCCTGTGGTTTAGGCCCTTGGCTTCTTCGCCCTCTTGCCTCCTGCCACCCTGCCTGGGATGCACTTCTCTTCCGCTTCCCTTTGTCAGCTTCTGCTCATCTTTCCGGCCTCAGTTTAGGCGTCTGCTCCTCAAGGAGGCCTCTCTTCGTCCCCAGGCTCCATCAGACAGTCTCCGTGCGTGCCCTGTGACGCCATGTTAAGTGTCCACTTTCCCCCAGGGCCACCATCCCTGTGACAGCAGGGGCTGCGCTGTCTCCAGCACAGTATGGCTTGAGAGCACGCTCTCTGGACTCAGGCTGGGGTTGAAGCCCAGATATTACTGCTTGTGGGATCTTGGGCAGATTCTCCCTCTAAGCTTCAGTTTCCTGGGGTAACTGGAGCTCCTAACAGGCCCTCCCTCAGAGGAGTGTGTGAGGATTCAGGGTGAACTGAGAGCAATGCTTGAGGCTTAGTGAGCCCTCAGCAAATGCTGGCTGTCATTTTATCTCCGGTGACTGGCAGTCCTCGGCATTAAATAGCCACTTAATGACTCTTTGCTGAGTTAATGAAGGAGTGAATGAATGAAACCTGGAGTATCTGCGGATCCAGGTGAGAAACGCAGGGATCAGAATCTGAGAACAAGGATGCCAGGCAGGTACCTGGACCCCTGAGGGGTGTTGAGCTGACTATGGGGTGACCTAATTTCAATATATAAAAATTTTTATTTTCTGTGAAACAGATGCCTTTGTGGCAAGGAGAAATGGCCTGGGCCCTCAGACCGGCAAATACAGAGTCCCAAAGTGAGGTGGCTGCAAAGCCACTGCCCTTTGTGTTCATCAAGATTGTGGGCTAGGCTTTCCCTTCACAAGCTGGGTCATGTGGGCAGGCCTCTTGCCCTCTCTGGGCCTCAGGGCCTACATCTCAACACAGTGGAGGGGGAGGTGGGCCAGCCAAATGTTCACAACCTTCCAGACCCAGACCTGCTTTTTCGTAACAAACATTTTGTATCACCCTTTACTGCCTTAGATGGAATTCAGAGATAATAAAACTGACCTACACACATTAAAAAAATCAACATTGTGCTCTAACTGGACACATAGGGAAATTGATTTGGAATAAAATGATCTGTATTTCAGTCCTCAGGTATAAGTACAATATAGGACAAAATGAAGCAGTTAGATGCTTACCTCTATGTACGTGGTTGTTTTGTGAGCGATTGGAATACTGTAAGTGTGTTGCTGTGGTGACATAATTTTTTAAAATGGTAAAAAAAAACCCTCTTAATAAAGTTATGAACAACACAAATTTCAGTCTTCCCTTGATTGACACAGTAATTGCATTCTTGGGAAATTTGGTGTACATTAAAACCGGGCAAAAAAATACTGTAAGTTTATATGTCAAATGAATCAGGGTCTAGGTTCATGTTACTATAAGCAGGTTTCCAGCAGGTCCTGGCAAGTCGTGTGGGAGGAGGACCATTCTTTGTGGTTTGAGACTCTCCTTTCTGTTGCAAGTGCCCTCAGCACCAGCCCTGTTTCCAGTCCTGGCCCCCGTCATCTCTGTGTCAACCGGAAATGCCGCCCAACTTCCCAGAGAGTCCAGAGGCCTGGAGGCTCACTCTGCACCATGCTCATGCTCGGCGCCCAGCAAGATCTTTCCATCCGGGAAGCTGACGACAACTTGCCCAGCTTAAAGATCTGTGGGTAACTAGGTTCCCAAGATCCCTCTCCTTGGCTGGAATTTGAGTCCCTGAACCCAGAATCACTCTCTCTTCACTTTTGTGCCACAGGAAAGCCTTTTCTCAGGCCAGAGGACCCCTGACTCCTCTTCCAGAGGCCTTAGGGCATCCCTCCCCTGTAACGTTACCTGGCAGCTCATGTTTATTGAGCATTTACTATGTCTCAGACACTCTTAAAAGAGCTTTAAATACACTAACTCATTCATCCTCGTGACAACTTGATGTAGTGAGTTCTATTATTATCATTTCCATTTTACAGAGGGGAAACCTGGACTCCTAAATGATTCTGAACCCAGGCCTCATGGCTCCAAGCCTGCGTTCCTAACCACTACACAACCCTGTCTCTCCTCGGCCTAAAGGACTGTGCTGGACAATTCCCATATCCGGCTCTGGATTATCTGACTAGAGGCGTTTATGGCAGCAGTTTGATTGGAAGGGGATGTGAGGGTGTGAACTTGAAACTACATTTTCATAATACATCTAAATGTCCTGAACAAACCTGGGTCGGGGGGGGCTGCTGAAGGCCAGCTCCAGTCCCCCCTTCCTACCTCCAGCCCCACCCCCAACCCCAGCCCCATCCCCCAGTCTTACCACCACTACCACCTCCAGCCTCACCCCTACCTCGAAGACCCACCACCACCACCTCCTAACCCACCAAGCCCCACTTTCACCCCTAATCTCACCTGCAGTATTGCATGCACCCCACTTCCCCAGCCTCCCTCCAGTCTCATGCCCAGCTTGGTTCCCACCCTAGCCTCACCCCAGTCCCACGCTTTACTCCCACCCTCCACCACCTCTCCAACTCCACCTTCCTTTGGCACCCCCTCTGCTGTCCCCCCACTAATAGTGATGTCATTTGGGTGGGGGTTGTGCATCCCCAGGGCCAGCGTCTCCTCTGATCTCCCCTTAGGCCCCCAAGCACTAGACCTCCTATAGCTTAGTGGCTCAGGGAGAGCTGCTAGGTGGAGCAGCCTATTGATTTTTCAATTGATATTCAAACCTTCCAGAGCCTTCTATCCATAGAATCACCTCTCACTTTTCCCTACCACCACTGCCTCAGCAAAGTTGGGACTGTTTCTCTCTCTTTTTACAGCTTCTCCAAGCCAACTAATGATAATAATAACAATATACCAATACTGCCAATCTGTGTGTGGAAAGATGCTTAGCTGCACTAGTCAGCAGTGAGACCCAATTAAAACTGCAATCAAGTGCCCTTCGGCCCCATCCAACTGGCAAAACATTGTACAAGTCTGATGATATGAAGTATTGGCGTGGATGTAAGGCAACAGGAATTGTCCCGTGTCTGGTGGGAGTGAAGGTGGGCTAAAAGGCACGGGAACACAATTTGGAAACCTAGTTGAAGAAGCACAAAACCTATATAACTTTCCAGCTCTACTTGTGGGCATATACCCTCAGTAAATGCTTGTACGCATGCACAAGAGACACATTGAAATTGTCTGTGTGTGACAGTGATAAACTGGAAGACTTACGTCTCCAATCATCACTAGAATTCACAAATATGATAGAGTTACACAATGGAATACTATACAGCTGTGAAGACGAATGAATTAGAGCTACAGGTAACCAACCTGGTTAAATTTCAAATGTTGAGCCAGAAAAGCAAGGTTGGGAATGATATGTGTAGTAAAGTACCATTATATAGTGCCATTTAGGTAGAGTTTAGAAATGTATAAGACCATGCTTGACTAGGCCTGGCACCCCCTCGCCCCCAGCCCAAAGACGTACAGCTGCCCTCTGAGCTGTGCGAGTGTGCGTCTTGTGGGTGGTGGTGGAGCATACTTGACCAGGCCTGGCGCCCCTTTTCACTCCCCCCAACAGTGGACCCTCCAGGCTGCCATCCTCTGGGTGTCAGGATACAAGAGTTCCCTGCTGAGTGGTGTCTGTCCCTCCTCTTCCTCCAGCTCTGGGCCTTATCTGCAGGAGGAAGTGGGAGGCCCACGGAGAGATGTGAACAGACCCGTCTCTCTCACAGGAGCTGCCATGCAGGCTGGGCCCTGGGCAGCCTTGCCAGGGTCTCCTTGGGGAAGGAGGAGGAGAGGGGCAAGAACCATGGGAGGGGGAGAAAAGCGATAGAGAAGAGCAGCAGGAGAGGAGAGAACAGAAGAAGAGGAGGGAGAGACACAGATGCTCCGATTCAGGGAGGCCTGGAGTACAGCCACTCACCTCCTGCCTCGGATCCCCAGGCCCAAGCGAGATGAGCCAAGACTGGCCTGTTGGCCCTGGTGGGAGCTTGGGCTGCCCCCTGGCCTGGCCTCTTCTCTGTCTTTGGTCCGTCATCTTGCCTGTGCAGCGCCCCAGGCCCCAGAGCAGGGGAGGGGCTGGACAGAGGAACTTCGATGCCCGTTCATTCCCCACTCTTTTCATCTGTCAATAGCAGGTTTTCCCCGGGGGCCCTGAATTATCCACCTTTTGTTTCATTTGCCAGCACCTTCACTTCTTGTGGGGACTGGTACCTCTCACTCCCGCCATGTCCCTATAAGCTACATTAATGTCTTTCCCTAGGATTTTCCAATAGAATCTGAGGAGAGTCAGGGCCCTCTGGTGGCTGACGTCACAAGATGAGGGGCCCAGGCACTGTGGGCTGCCACGCTCTCTGCCATGTGAAGGACGGTGACTGCAGCTTATTCCATCAACACGTCATAACAATTATTTGGTGCTTCCCAGGTGCCAGGCACAGATAAGGCTTTACATGCACCCATGCATTTTAGCCTTAAAAGTGCCTCAGAAGGGAGGTGCCAATGTTATTACCAACTTACAGATAAGGAAACCAAGACGTGCTGAGATAAGCAAAGTCACCCAAGAGATGAATAGGAGAACTGGAATTTGAACTGGAGCAGTCAGTTTCCCAAGACCATGAACTTCACCTCTCCCCTGTACTCCCCCTCAGATGTTTACAGGGGTCTAACATGTGCCAAGCACTCTGCTTGGTGCTTGCAGTTCCTGTGCCATGGCAAGTACACTCCTGCCTCAGGGCCTTTGCACCATCTGTTCCTTGTGCCTATTAAGCTCTTCCCCCAGATATCTGCAAGATTCTCTCCCTCACTTCCTTCAGGTCTCTGCTCTAATGTCACTTAATCAGTGAGGCCTCTTCTGACCACCCTAAATAAAATAGCATCACCTCTTCCTATATCTGGCACCTTCCATCCCCCATCACTGTCTTATTATTCCCTCAGCACTCACAACCATGTGACCTATGACTTAGCTATGTTTACTCGCTCATTGTCTCTTCCCACAGCAGGAGGTGAGCTCTGAGAGGGCAGACTTTTCTGTTTTATTCGCAGCACACGGATTAGTGCCTGGCACATTGTCTGCCTTCAACCACTTTTTATGACCGAATGAAAGAGGCTACAATGGTGAAAAGTTAGGATTCTGCTCTCAGTGAGCTCAAATTTTAGTGGGGATAACTAACAACCATCAAGGAAATAAACACACTCACACACACGCACACACACACACATATATTTCAGGTAGCAGCAGTAAGTGCTGTGAAGAAAACCTCTTGGAAAAACTTAGAAAACATCCCTCACTTCCCTGTGAGGGAACTGAGAGGGATGAAGATGTCATGGTGGATACAATGGTCCAGCGAAGCCTCTTGAAAGAAACGGTTAAGCAGAGACTTGGATGAATTAGGGAACTTGGTGTGCTCAAGGCCCAGGTGGGTGACAGAGGGCAGTCAGTTTAAGGGGTGGTGGTGGGAGAAGAGATCGGGGGGTGACAGGGACCAGATCGTGCAGGGCCCTGCAACGTGAGGAGGTTCTCAGGGGCTGAGCGAGGAACAATCTCCAGTTATTTTGGAGGCCCAGTTCCAGGCTTTCCTGCTATTAGTTTCCTGTGGCTGCTGTAACAAATTACCACAAACCCAGCAGATTAAAACAACAGAAATTTATTCCGTCATAGTTCTGGAGGCCAGAAGTCTGAAATCAGCATCGCTGGGCTGAAATCAAGGTGTCAGCGGCCATGCTCCCTCCAGAGGCTCTGGGGAGAATCTGTTCCTTGCCTCCTCCAGCTTCTCATGGCTGCCAGCATCCTTTAACTTGTGGCTGCATCACTCCCATCTCTGCCTTTGTGGTCACACTGCTTTCTCCTCTTCTGTGTCAAATCTACCTCTGTCTCCCCCTCATCAGGACACTTGTGATTGCATTTAGAGCCCACCTGGATAATCCAGGATAACCTCCCCATCTCAAGATCCTTAATCACATCTGCAAAGTCCTGTTTTGCCGTATAAGGTAACATTCACGGGTTCCAGGGATTAGGCCGGGGATATCTTTTGTGGCGGAGGCGTTATTTAGTTTACCATATCCGCCCTTTCTTCTAATGTCTGGTAATTTAATGATTTATTCACATCTCAGACTAAATTAATGTCCCCTTTGGCTTAGTTCAAGCTGTTCAAGCTGTGTTTCTGTTTATTATAACAAAAAACATCCAGACGAATCCACTTTTGCACACAGTAGGTGCTAATAAATGCGCACATGGAAAGAGAAAAGGGAGTTCATGTGTTCTGAGGGTACACAGAGCACCCAGCACATAGTAAGCGCTCAGTAAATGAACTGAACTGGTTCTTATACAACGCAGGGAAGTCCATGCTGTTATCACCTATGTGATGTTCCGAGAGGTGAAGTGGCTGGCTAATCGCTAAGGGCACACGGGGAGGGAGCGGGGTCTTCAGGACTAGAGGTCAGGCGTGTCTGACTGCAGCCAGTGCAGGCTTTCCCTACATCAGGGCTCCTCAGCCCCGGCACTGACGATGCTTTGAGCCAGACGACTGTCGTGGGCGGCGTTCTAGTGTTTAGCAGCGTCCTGACCTCTACCCACTAGAGGGCGATAGCACCCCCCAAGTTGTGACAACCAAAAATGTCTCTGGACATTGCCAAATGTCCCCTGGTGCTGGTGGTGGGGGGGAATCTCCTCTTCTTGAGAACTACTACCCTCCGTTACACTGTCCTCGTGGAGGTGGTGGTACAAAGGGGCCGTTTCAGCTGGGGATTGAAGTCAGGTGTCGCACAGAGCAGGTAAGAGGCTGCCTCTATGCCACTGCAGTGGAGATCACTGGTTATCTACTGATATCTACCATCTGGTTCTCTAGTGACAAACTTCAGCTGGGCACATTGTTGCCAGACTAAAGACTACATTTCCCAGCCTTCTTTGCAGCTAGGTGTGACAACGTGACCACATTCAGCCAATTAGAGGTGATGTGGGCAAATTCCTAGCTGTGCCCTTGAAGGCGAGGGTCACGCTGCCCTTCACTGCCTTCTTTCTTGGTCTTGCTGCCTGGGATGTGGACCTGGTAGCAACAAGATCTGGGAATCCTGGGACTCAATACCAGGGAGTCCCCATGTTGCCTGGTCTGCTTACGCTTGGATATTACTAGAGAAATCAATTTTCTTGTGGGTTAAGCCACTGTTATTTAAGAGTTTTGTTGAAGTGGCCAAACCTGCATTCTAACTGCTACAGACACCTGAGCCAGCCACCGTGGGGAAGGAGAGAAGGCAGGAAAGGGGGAGAGAAGGATGTAAATGGAGGGACACAGGGTGTCTGGCTGGGTGAGCTTAGAGATGCTCAGGGAAACCTTCTGGGAAGGACTCTGAATTGGATCTTGAAGGATAAGAAAATGTGGAGATGCGGAGAAAGGGGGCAGGCATGCCAGAAGGGGCTGCAGCAGGGGCAAAGGCCTTGAGGAGAGACCGGGCAAGGCCTTGAAGGACAAAGAGAAGAAGACACACCAGAGGGGAGCATGGTGCCAAGTGGGGAACTTCACTAGGCAAACTGAACACAGGCGCAGGGATCCTGGAGGTCGTCGTGAGGCCTGGGGGTATCTGGAGGCTGGGATTGGAGGCAGAGAAATGGCTGGGGAGCCCTGGCCCCTCTCCAACTCAGAGGACCCACTCTGGGGCTGGCCCCTTACCCATGCCCCATGCCCCGTGCTAAGATGAGCACAGCTCTGCTGGGCCTGGGGTCTTGAAGTCTTCTTGCTGAGAGCTCCTCCAGCGGACAGCCAGGGCCAGCAGGAGTGCAGCCAAGGTCACTGCCTTCAGCCCCAGGACCACAAGTTTGAGCATAGACAGGAGGCCTGGGGGACACAGGGGAGAGCTCAGGGAGGACCCCTAGCGAGCCCCCAACAGCTCACACCTCAGTGCCCCCGTGGCGAGGTCGGGCCCAGCTGCTGTATAACCTCTGGGGCCACATCCTTTCTACACGGCGAGAGACCAAAGACCTCCCCTACCTCTGTCGCGGGCTGAAGAGGCTTTGCCCCGTATCCTACCTGTACCTTTAATCATCTTGACAGCATCCCTGACCTCTCATAATAGTAGAAAACTGCTTACACTTCTTGGCTGCTCAACTCTCTGCCCCAGACGCTGAGCTAAGCATTTCCTAATTGCCTAATATAATCCTCAGACTAATCTTGTGAGGTAGGGTATCTATCCGATTTGTATAGACGAGAAGACAGACCCAGAGAGGGGAAGGGATTTGCTCAGGGCCCTGTGTGTCAGAGAAATGATAGGACCGGGTGGTCTGGCTCTCAGGAAGGTGGGAGCAGGGTGAGCATCGGGGGGCTAACCTGGCCACCTCTATCCCTCCCCCCATTACCCAGTGCCCCCGAGTGTAGAAGGTGCTGTGGCAGGCACAGTTCTGGGATCTCATTGGATCTGCACACAACCCCGTGAGGCAGGCTCTCAGATTCTTATTCCCTTTCTCCCCCAGTTCTTAAAGGAGGACACCAGAGATTCAAGGAGCAAGGCAACCTGCCCACAATCACACAGCTAGAAAGGGGCTGAGGCCGGGAGGCCTGGCTACAAAGCCTTGTTCTTCAGCACTATTATGCACAGCTTCACAGCATCCTCGCACTGAATCACGGGGAGCTCACTACCTCTCAAGCAAGACCGCCCACTGAACAGTTAGCACTGGCTGTTAGAAAGCCCTTTCTTTGATTGAGCTTTAACATGGTTCTCGGGGCTCCCAGTTCTGCAGTTGAGATGGAGTCCTGGGAACTGTCTTGGTGGCAGATGGGCCCTAGAAGTTCGGGACTGCTCCCGTCCCACGGACAAGCCGTCTTTGCCCCCTTTGCCTGTGGGGGACTGGTTAACTCCACTGGAGGTGGGTACACTCACCTGATGGAAATATCCTGGCTGCACGTTCATTGATGAACTCTCTCTCTTGGGGAGAAGTGGGCTTTGCTGCAAAGGAGAGAGGTGGTCTCACATTCCCCTTTTCTTTCTCTCTTGCCACTTTCTGAGCTCCGTGCTAGGAGCTGGGGTCACCAAGATGAGTCTGCCGGTTTCTACCTGAAATGGGGGCTAGAAGTCAAACCCTGTAACTATGAAAGACTTGTTAGACCTGCTTGAGCATCTCTGGGGTAGACCTGTCTGACTCTTTGCTGTATTTGCAGCACCTAGTGCAGTGCAGGGCAGTCAGCAGGCACGCAATAGATGTTTGTTGAATCATTATTGATCTATAAAATGTTCTGGGGAGCCCAGAAGGGGGAGCCCAGAAGGGGGATCCCAGAAGGAGGAGAAATGAACTCTGCCTGGGAGAAGCAGAAGGTTTCACAGGGGAGGGCTATTTGTGTTGGGCCTTGAAGGATGAGTAGGAGTTCTCCAAAGAAAAGGAGAAAGCATTCCGGGGCGGAAGGAACAGCTTATATAAAGACTTGGAGGCTGAGAAGAGCTGGCTTTTTTTTTTGGACATAGTGAAAAGTTCCTTGTGGACCACCTCCCCCTCTCTCCCAACACCTCCTAGACCATACGTCTCACCTTTCACTCTCAGCCTGGTGCCCTGTATGGACAGGTATTGCCTGTTGAGTTTTCTCTGAAACTTTACGCAGTAGTAAGTGCCTGCATACTCAGTGGAGACGCCTCGCAGAAGAATGCTGAAATCGCTGTTGGAGGCCCAGACTGCTGTCACTTTGGGGTGGGAGATGCCTTCAAAGTTGTAAATGGCCTCCCAGCTCAGACCAGCCCCCCAAAACCACCTGATGGGTCCGGGGGGACCATCTCCAAGCACTGTGCAGTTCAGGAAGACAGTGTCTCCGGTGGTCGTCAGCACCAGCTCCTGGGCCTGGATGATCCAGAGGTCTGGCTCTGAGTCCCCAGCTCCTGAAGCCAAAGAGAGTTTCTTGTATTCCAGCTCTCCCTCCATTGTCCATTCATTTCCTCCCTCATATCTTCCCTCCCTTCCCCCCGATTTCTTCACTCACCCACTCCCTTCCACATTCCCTCATTACTCACTAGCTGATTCACTCAGTAAAGAAGTTCTCAGCACATACTGTGTGCTGATGCTAGAATCGGGGAAAATGAAGCTCAGCAAGACACACAAATGTCCTGCCCTGAGCAAGCTCCCAGTCTGGTGGTGGAGATGGTCCAGAAAATCCCCCTGAGGTTGGAAACCCAGAGGACTGCAGGACCGCAGTGAAGGCACCTGTTGCAGCTCAGAAGGAGTCAGAGAAGCCATCCGGAAACACTTGCATCAAGTTAAAATGAACCCCTCGCCACACACACGTGACTGTGGATAAAGGCGACTAATGCAGGGAGATAGAGCAGAGCAGGGTGCTGTGAGCTGCATGGCTGATACTCACCCTTCATAAGCACTGAGGTGCCCTCATCCAGCTTCTTTTCTGAGCGCTCACTCAAGCCGTCAAACCTCACACAGTGGTAGGTTCCAGCGTGCTCCCTGGTGACAATGTGGATATAGACGGAATAGTCACAATTAAGTGGCTCCAACGTCCTCTGGATCAGGGGCATCACCCCGGGGAAGATGCTGTGTTTGAAGTTATAAATTTCCTGCTGGTCCTGATTGCTCACCTTGACCCGTTTTATCATGTCATCAAGGCAGGAGCCGACTAACGTACACCTCAGTAGGAGCATCTCACCTTCTGCCACCAGCACGGGGCCCTTGGGCTGCTGCACCTGCCACTCATGCCTGTTGCTCTGCTCAGAGGATCCTACGACAGCGGAAGAAAGGCTTGGGGTTGGGCAGGAAGGACTTGGTGCTCTAAGAGGCAAGCTTAATATAAACCAGTCATTAGCTGGCCGAGAACAATGGCTCAGGACACTCAAAGGGTGTTGTTGGAGAGGGAAGTGAACGAGCAGATGAGGCAGCTTGCTGGAGAGAGGGAACAGAGCTATCAAAGGGAGAACTTACAATGATAGACGGCACTTGAGTGCTCACACATGCCAGGCACTGCATGTATTATCTCATTTATTCCTCTTAACACTGCGATGAGGTGGGCTGCATCATCTTCATTTTACAGCAGAAGACACTGAGAGCCCAGAAAGGTTAGGCAACCTTCCCGGGATCACTGTTTATTAGGCTGAATTGTGCCCCCCACCCCCAAATTCATACGTTGAAGTCCTAACCCCCAGTACCTCAGAATGTCATTGCATTTAGAGACAGGGTCTTTAAATAGGTAATTAAGTTAAAGTGAGGTCACATGGGTGGGTCCTAATCCAATATGACTTGTGTCCTTATAGGAAGAGGAGGTTCGGACACAAACACACACAGAGAAAGAGCATGTGAAGACATAAGGAGAAGATGGCCATCTACAAGGCAAGCAGAGAGGCCTCAGGAGAAACCAACCCTGCTGACACCTTCATCTTAGACTTCTAGCCTCCAGAATTATGAGAAAATTAATTTCTCTGCTTAAGCCAGCAGCCTGTGGCAAACTAACTAAAGCCTTGTTGTGGGAGCCTTAGCAAACTAATACATCAACCAAAAGGAACGTGACAGAGCCTCAGTTCAAACCCTGTTTTTCCGGTCCCTGCTCTTAACCCTCCAATGTATCACATAAAGTTTATGTGCTGTGGTGTTCAGTGTAAACACCCTCCCCGCCTCCTGTGACTCCTTCAACAAACTGCAACGCTTGTTGATGCGTTGTGAAGTGGGTCTATTTTGGGGATAGGTTGATCTGTTGAGTTTGGCCTCAGACTGGGCACAGAGAAAGAGGGCTGAGGCCACCCAAGGAAGTTCTTCTACACCTGGGTTATGAACATGATCACAAGTACCTCCTCCAAGAACCTCATGAGGTGAATGCTATTACTATCTCCATCTTTGAGATGAGGAAAGTAATGCTCAGAGAGGTGAAGAAACCCGAGGTGAACCATGTGTTCAGTAGGTGCCATGGCCAGGATTTGAACTCAGATCAGTGACTTAGGGTTCTGCTCAACACAAGGTCATCAGCTTTGTGCCCTGAGTTTCCCTCGGTTTGTGCTCCCATCAGGCCTTGTGCATAACTCGGTCTCACTCCAAGACATGAGTATATTATGGTGTTTCTCAGTTGCGAGTGAGGTAGGGAGGAGGGAGGTGAAGCAAACATTCCCTTCTAGGAGGATCTGGGGAAGGGTTGTGGAATTCTAACTTCTTTTCCTGCTCGTCTTCAGCCAGGCATGTGTGATATGGCCTCTAAATGCTGCCTCACAGTTGTGACCAAGTGATGCCCCAGGTTAAACTCCAGGGCTTCCTCTTGCCCGTAGTGTCCTTAGTTCCAAGAAGTTCGGCGACTCCCACCCCCAAATACCATTATTTGAGTCGGTCAGGTCTGTTCTCTCCCATCCTTTCTGATGGTTCTTTCCCTGGCCTCAGGTAGTTTCCTCATACACATGCACTGAACAGTGCCCATCACACAGCACAGGGCTGAGAATAGCGCCTGTTCCCACCTGCCCCCTGGAAAACCTCATGATTGACAGGGAAATGGGTAGACTACCCAGAGAGAAGTGCTCTGGTCCCACCTAACAAATCTGAAAAGCAAAACCTCAAAACGGTAAAAAATAATAGTATTCTATCATGAGGCTTATAACACGTGTAAAAGTAAAGTTAAGACAACAGCAGAATAAAGGTGGGGTGGAGGGGAATGTTAGTATACAATCTTAAGGTTCTTACACTATATGAGAAATGATATGATATCACTTAAAGGTAGAGGGTGATAAATTAAAGATGTATACAGTCGTCCCTTGGCATCCTCGGGGGATTGGTTCCAGGACCCCTCACAGATACCAAAATCCAGGGACGCGTAAGTTCCTTACATAAAATGGTGCAGTATTTGCATATAACTTACACACATTCTCCTGTATGCTTTAAATCATCTTTAGATTGCTTATAATACCTAATACAGTGTAAATACTATGTAAATAGTTGTTATACTATGTCGTTTAGGGAATAATGTCAAGAAAAATAGTCTGTACATGTTCAGTATGGACACAACCATCGTAGGCCTTTCATCTGCAGTTGGTTGAATCCACGGATGCAGAACCCGAGGATAGGGACTGTACTATAAATCCTCAAACAACCACTAAACTACAAAATAAAGAGTTATAGCTAATAAGTCAATAAAGGAGATAAAATAGCATTATAAAAATATTCAATTACCAAAAGAAGAGAGAAAAAGAGAAAAAGGGAACAAAGAACGAATAGGAGGGTAATAGATAACAGGATCTACAGTTCTTTTCAAATGCACAAGAAACATTTACCAAGATAGAGCATATTCTGAGTCATATAAACTCTCGATAAGTTTAAAAGAACTGAAGTAGTGAAAAGCATAATCTTTGACTACAGTGGAATTAAATTGGAATCAATAAGTGACAGATGCCTAGAAAACCCTGGATATTTGAAATCTAAATAATACACTTCTAAATAACACATGAGTCAAAGACAAAATAAAAGGGAAATTAGAAAGTATTTGGACTTGAATGAAAATGAAAACACAACATTAAAATTTGTGGGATGCCATTAAAGCAGGGGAAAATTTATAGCTAAATGCCAATATTAGGACTTAAGTGATCTGATCTTATGTTTTCCACCTTAAGAAACTGGAAAAAAGAGCAAATTAAACCCAAAGTAAGTAAAAGAAAGGAAACTACAAAGATCTGAGTGAAAATCAATAAAATAGAGCACAAAAAACAATAGAGCAAATCAATGAGAATAAAATCTTTGAGAAAATCATTAAAATTGATAAACCTCTAGCCATACTGAACAGCGAGAGAGAGAGAGTAAGAGATTACTAATATCAGGAAAGAGAGAGGTGACATCAGTGTATTAAAAGGATAATAAGGGAATATTATGAACAAGTTCACGGCTATATAACTTTGACAACATGGACAAATTCCTTGAAAAACACAAACTACCAAAGTTACCTCAAGAAGAAATGGATAACGTGAATAACCCTATTATCTATTTAAAACATTTAATTTGTATTAAAAACCTTCCCACAAAGAAAACTCCAAGCCCAGATAGCTTCGCTAGTGAATTCTACTGTACATTTAGACATGACACCAAAATCATGATCCATAAAAGAACAAGTTGATAAATTGGACTTCATAAGAATTAAGAACTTGTGCTGTTCAAAAGACACTTGTAAAAGAATGAAAAGACAAGCCACAGAGTAAGAGAAAATCTTTGCACAGCATATATCCAATAAAAGGTTTGTAACCAGAATATGTAAAGAACTCTCAAAACTCAATAAAAGGAACACAATTTAAAAATGGGAGTTGAACAGTCACTTCAAAGAGGATCCATGTGAAAGATGTTCAACATCAATACACATGAGGGAAATGCAAATGAAAACCACAGTGAGATCTTACTACACACAGTAGAAGGACTAAAATTAAAGAGTGACCATACCATGTGTCGGTGAGGATATGGAGGAAATGTCATCCCTGTACACTGCAGATGAAAATGTAAAATGGTACAACCATCTGGAAAAACAGTTTGGCAGTGTCTTAAAAAGTTAAACATACACCTACCATATGTTCCAGTCATTTTCTTCTTAGGTATTTTCCCAAGAGAAATGAAAGCATATGTCCACACACAAGCTTGTACATGAATGTCCATAGAAGCTTTATTTGTAATAGCCTCGAAATGCAAACAACTCGAATGTCTGTCAACAAGTGAATGGAACAACAAACTGGCTTATCCATACAGTGGATAGAAATGAAAAGAAACGAACTATTGATATGTATAAAAACATGAATGAATCTCAAAATAATTGTGCTGAGTAAAAGAAACCAGACAAAAAGGAGTACCTACTGTATGATCTCTGTTGTATAAAGTTCTAGAAAATGCAAACTAATCTTTGGTGACAGAAAGCACATAAGTGGTTGCCTGAGGGGGAGGAGGAGTGGAAACAATGAATCACAAGGATATTGTTGGGAGTGTTGTAAATGTTTATCATCTTGATTTTGGTGTTGAGTCACAAGTGTGAAACATATCCAGTGCCCCCCAAATGTAACAAATTGTACATGTTAAATATGTACAATTTATTATATGTCAATTATACCTCAATAAAGCTGTTAAAAAAAAGGAAAAAAATTCATGAAGATGAAACCTGCGAGTGTGTAATGAGAAACGGAGAACTCATGGCGAAGAGGCAGTGGGAGGAGGTGATGACTCAGAAAGTCCCAGCGGGGGGCGAGTTTGGGAACTTGAGACAGCAGGGAGGACACTGGAGCCTGGAATAAGCCCCCGTGCCCCACAGCCCTTGTCCTCCCTCTCCCCTTCTCAGTTCTCCTTCCATGTTGTCACACGGACTTTGGGAAATGTCTTGGGTACCTTGTCTGTGGAGCTGGACCAGCCCCCTCCCCGCAGCTCTGGGATGCCTTCTCATCTATTTTCTATCTGCGTGCCCTGCCTTTCATGATCCCTGCTGAGGGGCTCCCTTTTGGAAGCCTGGTAGAAAATCAATATTTTTCAAACATATTTGATCCTGGGGGGTTTAGATATATGATTTTCTAGCATAGTGCCTAACACATAGTAGACACTCAAAAGTATTTGTGGACTGCATGACTAGGAATTTTGATTCACATTTTACAATTGAGGAAACCAGCTCAGCGAAGCAAAGTGGTGCTCCAAGTCGCAGCCAGTCAGTGACGGAACATCCAGGTCTGACCCCACACCTGGGTCCTACCAGGGCCTCTCCTGGGGTGACCAAGGTGTGATGAACAGAATCTGGATCTCAGGAGGGCCTGGGGCAGGGACCCAGATGGGCAGGAGATGGAATGAGCTGATTGAGAGCCAAGCATCTTGCCTGGTGGATCAGAGAATTCTTGGTTCAGAGGCTGAGCTGTACCCAGGAGCTCCAAGACTCAGGAGTTAAACCAGCCTGACCCTGACTTAGAGGAGACCTGGGTATGATGATAATAATTGCCTGCAGTTACTAAATCTTTACAATGTGCTGGGTGCTTATAGGTATTATCTCGTTGAAACTCTAAACAAAGTCGTGAGGTGGGTCCTATGATTAGCCCCATTTTACAGAGGGGAAAAATAGAGGCTCAAAGAGAAGTTACTTAAAGCAATCAGTGGTGAGTTTTGAGCCCAGCTTTTTCTCAGGCTGAGCCAGTGCTGGCCCACGGGTGTGCAATTTGTATGGTCGCCCAGGGCCCTGCGCTTAGATGGGCCCCATGCGTGTGTTAATACTTTGCTATTGCTGTCTTGAAATCCTTAATACTTTTTGAACAAAGGACCTGTGTTTCATTTTGCACTGGGCCCCGCAAATTACGTAGTGGTCCTGGGCTGAGCCTCACCATTTTTATATTTAGTACTCATAGCATCCCTAGAGAGAGTTCCCATTAGAGGCCCTGTTTTGTAGGAGAGACTAAAGAGCCATGGCATCTGACATGGGCACACAATTGTTCCAGCAGGAACCTGGCCGGCATGAGCCCAGATTCTGGGGATTTAACTTCATTGTGTTGCCTCCCAAGAAGTCCTGCTTCTCCGGATACTGGGTCTGTGATCTGCTGGGGTCAGGAAAGTTCTCAGTTCCCCCCACCCCCCACTCTGTCTTGGTGGGGTCCAGCCCCTCTAGGCATGCCAGAGCACGTGGTGTCCCTCTCTGGGACAGGTCAGGGGTGGATCCTGTTCTGTCCCAGATCCCACTCACCTGAGAGGACAAGGAGCAGCGCCAGCAGTCGGGAGCAGGGGGGTGAGTGGCCCAGATGGGTGGGGGTGGGCATCTCGAGGGGCACACGTGCCTCCTGTGGTCCCCAAGACTGACTGCCGGTCTGCTCTCTGATGGCTGTTGGCTTCTGAAGTGGGGCCCGTGGGAAAGGCTGTTTCTGCTTCTCGTGGCTAAAGCTCCTTGGGGAAGTGTTTTCACTACAGCAAGACAAGGCTGCTGGTGCAAGAGGAAGGAGCAGGGTGGAGGGGTTTCAGGCTTCCGTGTCTGGGCAGTGGTTCCTGTAATCACTCTGTCAAAACTTTAATGACCCCTTGCCCCGGGCCCTGTCCTGGGCACCCTGGGAGGGAGATGAGCACGGCTGTCATAGTGTGCACTGGAGTCAGCTGGACTTTGGATCAAGTATTGGGTCTGCCTCTTCCTGGCTGTGTGATCTTTCAAACTCACTTGCTGTCTCTGAGCCTTTGTTTCCTCATCTGCAAAATGTGGACAAGTAGCAATCCCCTCCTCGGACAGGTATTACGAGGATTATATGAGATACTTGTGTGAGGGCTCAGCACAAGATAAATGCTAAACATATCAGCCATTGTTACTCATGATGTGTAGGAAATAGAGGAGACGACATTTTCTTAAGAAGGATTTATTATAAAGCAAGCCCCATGGAGGCCTCCTTTTGGCAGTGCTGGGAGGGCACAGACCCCATTCCTAAATGTATGATTATGGGCAACTCTCTAAACCTCCATTTCCTGGGGTCCAAATATTAAACACTCAGATTGTACAAAAATTTGTATTTGGGGCATCTTAATCTTCTGTAACTGGTCTGAACTTCCTCAGGAGCCCATATCATGCTGGCTATCAGGAAGGCAAAGCTTAAATTTGCCTGTTAAAGCAATCCTAGCCTCTTCCAGATTCTGGCGGCCTCTTTAGCTGCACTGTCTGGGTTCACGTCTTGGTTTTACCCAAGCATTACAATCCTTTGAGCACTTGCTGCCTCAGTTTTCTGGTCTGTAAAACAGGAATAAAAATATGATTGCTTGTGTAGGGTGGAGTAAGCACTGTACAAGCTACCATCATTCTTTTTTAGGTTAACTTGGTATTTTCCAGAAAAAAAGAGGAAGATCAAGTTTCAGTGCTTCCCTCCCTCCTTCCTACTCTGGGTGGTCCTGGGTGCGGAGGAAGCTGAAGATTCTTTCTGGCGCAGGATGGTGGGCTTTGGTGTACTGTCTCGGGGTCTGCGGTCTGCCAGGAGGAAGCGATCTGGCCTGGTCCCTCAGCACTTTGCACTGGGTCTGCTGAGGTGGCTGGTCCTGTCCGGCCATCTGGGACCTTGCATCGGCACCACTGCTAAATACCATTGCTCCTTCTACTTGTTCTCCAGTTGAGGAGACCCAGGTATTGGAGCCTCTTTGAATTGACCACAGGCCTAGAAAGTTCCAACAGACCCTCAGCACCTCCAGGTCATCCTTCCAGGGGAACTTCTGAATCACCTGCTTATCTGTGTGGATTCCTTTCTCAGCTATTTCTTTTCTTCTCAAGAAAAATTAATTTTAGTTATTTTAATAGGTAAGGCATTGTAATGGTGAGCTATTGCTGTATAACAAACCAGCCCAAAATGCTGTGGTTTAAGACAATAACCTTTTCTTTAGTTTGTGATTCTCTGGGTTGATGATTTTGTCTGGGCTCAGCTCTGTGTCTCTTCTCAGCTGGTTTGACTGGGATTGCTCATGCATTTGAGATTAGCAGCAGGTTGGCTAGGTAACTCTGCTACTGGCCTTGGTTGACTGTCACCTGGGCCACCTCAGCTCTCCTCCATGGGTCTCTCACTCTCCAGGAGGCTAGTCTGGGCTTGTTCACATGAGACAGGCAGTTCTGAGAGAGAGCAGAAGTTGCAAGGTGCAATGTCACTTCTACCACATTCTTTTGGCCAAAGCAAGTCAGGAGATCAGAGCAGAGTCAAGGGATGGAAAACAGACTTCACCTCTGATGGGAACAGCTGCAAAATCAGATTGCAAAGGGCGTGGATACAGGGAAGATGAAAGAATTGTGGACATTTTGGTAATTCATCTACCATGGGCATCCACGGGGTTCAGAATTCACAGGATTCAACGTCTCCTTCATAAGGTTCCCAGATATTACCTTCCTCGGGGTTAACCATAGTCACCAGTTTCTGGAGATATTCAATTCTTCCACTATCTCTGATCTATTGCTCAGAAGCCAGGTTGGACCTGGCCCCTTGGTGAGGTGTGTGACCTCCTGGACACCCTAGGAAGCCAGGCTATGATCCCTTCTGCTCTAGGAATCTCTAAACATACCTGGGTTTCTATACTCCGTTGCTGCACCACCCCAGAGTTTTGACCCCAGGGAGTGGGTGTGCCAGAACCCTGGCATCTCAACTCTTGGCCTTCTCCCCCTTTTTATGGCCACCCTCACCAAATCATAAGGGGAGGCGTTCCCTTCTTTCCTTCTGTAGGGACTTTCCTAACCTCAGCCCTCTTCTGAGCAGATGGTCTCCTCTGTTCTAGCTGGAATCTCTCCAGCCATCTCCTCAGGCAACAAGCCTCAGTCTCCAGCTTTGAAGGAAACAGAGCTGCACTGGAGGGAACTAGACTACTGTGAGAGGGAAATGCACATGGAAGTACTTACAAAATATCAGATCTGTCCTGCTCATCTGTAAAATGCATGCCATGTGATAGCATGGGGGGCACTGGCTCCTGGTAATGGTTCAGTGACCAGGAGCAGTGATTCTCCTCCTCATCAGTGGGCTTGGTTGTTGCGGGAACCGCAGTGACTGTCACTAGCTTGAGGAATCAGCCTAAGCTGTTTTCGGCAGGGGCACCTGAGATATAAATAAAACACAAGTCTACACCTACATGGGCTTTTTTCCCCCGCCTACAGAAATGGAACTATGTTGAAACAACAGCTTCTGCCTTGTTTACCACAAAATGGAAAACACAGTAAGCAAGTCTGGGGAAAACATTCAACTTCACCAGCAATCAAATAAATACTAATTTAAAAAACAGCAATACTGGTGTTTTTGCAGTTGGCATTTATCTACATCCCTTCTCTGTTCTGCTTTTTATTGGAGGGCCTGAAAGCCTGGGAACCACATTTTCCAGAACTCCTTGCCAGATTTGCTTTGGATTAGGTTCTACAGAGGAGAGGTGCTTGTATTAGATTTGGAAGGTGAATGAGAGGGAGAGGCATGATTGCTCCTCTGGAAACGGAGAGGAGCAGATGTGTGGGCATCAGTGGACGGCAAATGTGAGGTTTTGCGGTGGCCCCCACACCCTTCTGTCAGTCACCTGCAAATCACAGGCAGCTGTGATCACCGGTGGTGGGTTTCTCTAAGTCTTGAATATTCCTGATTCTCTGAGAGCTGGCAGTGAACTGGGGAGCTGAAGCAGTGAGGATTTCCAGTGGTCTGTAAGCACCAAATCCCACAACTCGCAAGAGAACAGAGCAGGAGTGCACGACTTTTTATGACCTAATCTCGGAGTTCATCTAGCATCATTTCTGCCATTCCTTCCTTTAGGGGAAGCGTTTAGTTTCTCTTTAAAGCCTCTAAGGTCCTTGAACCTGACTTACTGCTCTTTGCAACTTGCCTGCTCCTGTGGTTTGATTTGCCTTTCTTGTTCACTTTTGATATTTTGTGTCAAATTCCGTGACATGCTTTATGGTGTTGTTTTAAATTTTTTTTGAGATATGACTTACATACTACTGCACAAATATTATGCGTGGCTCACTGAACTTTTAAGCTTCTTATGTCTGAATACACCGGTGTAATCACCACCCCAGGACATAGAAGGTTCCTTCTTGCTCCTTCTCATTCAATCTCTGGCCCCATCAGCAACCACCAATCTGATTTCTATCACCATAGACTGGTTTTGCTGGTTCTTGAATTTCATATAGAGTCATGCAATGACTGTTGCCTGGCTTCACTCATTCGTCTTAAAGCTTTTTTTTTGTG